CCACCCCCAAAAACTAAAGCAGTGCTTCAAACTCAGAAATCAGTCTGCCAGGTGACTGGAGAATCCATGTCAGCATGGAGATTTAGATGAAAAATAGTGGCTTATTTGCCCTATTTGGTATCAAGCTAAAGCTGTAAACAGGAGTTGAACCTTATCTAACAGTGATGGTAGTTAATATTCCAAAGGAGACTGTGGTTACAAGATATGAATTAGGTACAAAGTTCATAGCTTCTCCTGTGTTCATAATCGATAGAGGTTGCGTAGATATCTATTTCAACCATATTTTCTCCTTTAAAAACTACTGATTTTATGGCATTCAGTAACCATTTATCTTTTGCACTAAACATCAATAGAAGCTATGTTGGAAGAATGTTATAGTAAACTATCCAGACATCTTGGGTTAAGTTCTTAAAAGATTTATAGCAGGATGGATGGTTTAGACAGAATTCAGTTGCCTCGTTTCATTTTACATTATTTTCCCTGTAAAATTTAAGACTGGTTGGTTTTTTTTGCAGAGTGAATACCTCTATACAACCTTTCCTTTTGCCCAGAAAGTTACTCTCAGATGTGAGGTGGAGTTTACTTACCTAAACCTAGTTTATTAAGTTGCATAATTTTTAATAGCCATTTTGCTTTTTTAAAAAAAATATTTTTAAACATGAATTGTTTCAGAAATGATAAACTGCTATTCCTGCAGAAAAATGTTAGTTGCTGAAACAAAAATAACTCGGATGTTCTCTGTTTCAGTTGATGCCGATGTCACAGTTATTGGCTCTGGTCCTGGAGGGTATGTTGCTGCTATCAAAGCAGCTCAGCTTGGATTTAAGGTAAGATGAGACCTCACTCAGCAGAATACTCATCTGGATGAACTTCAAAGAAGTTGTGTTGATACTGAAAAACTGAGATTCTTCTGTCACGTCTTGGGCCACTGGATGCTGTTGACATGTCGATAATCTTTCTTTACCTTGCTTACCCAGACGATACAGACATTGAAATGGAGATGTGAAGATACTACTGTCTATAGCCCTGCTAGGCTACTGACGAAGCTGCTCAGGACAGCTTGCTTTTGATTGGAAGTGATAATTGAGGTGGCTTATACTCTTGTGGAAGAGAACGTGGGAAAAGAATGCTGGGAAGGAATTTTTCTTCCAGTAAAGAAGGGGGGGGGGGGCAGAAGACACTGACAAAAAGGCCACTGAGAAACTGTCCTGAAGAACAGACAGAGGGAACTCAAAAGAGGAAAAAACAATATTCAACTGATGTGTTTTTTCAATGCGAGTAGAGGAATTCCATTGCCTTGTGAGAATTTTAGAGGTGAAAATATGTCTGTAGAAATACTAGTCTCTAGTTTACATTTATTTATGTTCATCTCTGTTGTCTTTGAATGCCTTTTGAAAGAGGCAACTTTGATGTGTGCTAATGATGTGTCATTGTAGTATTCAAAAAACGGGTAGACGTGGCACTTTGGGACATGGTTTAGTCTACTCTACCCTTAATTGATTTAATTGGTTTAGTGGTGGACTTGGTAGTGTTAGGTTAATGGTTGGACTGGATGATCTTAAAGGTCTTTTCCAACCTAAATGATTCTATGATTTAATTGAGTATTGTGAGAGTTATATGTGTATAATGCATTTCAGATTTTCTAAACTTAGGAAAATACGGAGTGTGACTTCAGCTGGATATTTTTTTACCTTCACTCCTTAATATGAGACCAACTTACTCTGTTGGCACTGCACTAGCCTTCTCTTAATTATTTTGAAATCTGAGAAAGTGATGCTATCAGTCTTAAGTGTGTTCCTGCTGGCTGATATGTCCCAATGCTTCTGAACTAAGACACCTGGACTTCATGACAAAAATGAGTTGATTAGTCCACCTGGTAAGGACAGGACCTCCTGTTGATGAATGGAGTTCCAGTGAAACACTGGTTTGATTCCATTGATGAGAAGGAGATGAAATATTTTCCATCCCTGTTGGTATTGACCTTATTTTTGCTTGGCTTTGCTTTACTGATTTGTATTCTTTCTTTCTTTATAGATATTGGCATAGCTTTATAGCAGTGGGCCTGACAGGATAGTGTGTTTAGAAAGGGAAATGTTTGTGGTTTGGGGGTTTTGTTTTCTTTAAAGAAACACTGGAACAGGGACCCAGATAGCATGTAGTCTTCAACCTTGGATATTTTCAGAACTTGGCTGCAGAAGGCCCTGAGCCACCTGATACATGTTTGATGTTGACTGTGTTTGGAGTGGGAGGTTTGACCAGATGGCTTCCAGAGGAGGTCCCTTCAACCTAAACTTTTCTGTAATTCTGAGTGGTGTCCCTCATTGCTCATTACTCCCACAGCTGGCTTTCAGTGATGTCTCTTTGGGTATCTTTCAGCCTTTTAATGTGTAGCTGTACCAAAATATAAATGTTTGATATTCCATTAAGAAGTTTTACATCTGCCTGTGACCTAGTGCAGATAATTGAGCTGTCTTTATCCATGTTCATGAATTTTTTTTTTTTTTCTTAAATACTCTTGCTTTTAGGTGTATATTGTTACTGAGCTATTGGTACCTGAGAAAAAAGGTGCTCAGTGCTACAGGTTGTAATTGAGATTGAGGCCTTCTGCTATGTAAGTTCATGTTTGTTTATTCTAAAGCCATTTTTTATGGCCAGATGCCAGCTTTTCTTGGAGCAATGCTGTCCGCAGGTCCTTCATATCTGTGATTAACAATAGGATACCATACACAAAGAGGTTGAAAAGTGCCCTGCATTCTGTTTTTCATCATGGCAAAAAATAATTTTCTTGTACTGCTTTACAGCTAGTCAGAGTGGGCGAAATATTTGGATGTGCTTGTATGTGTCACCTGTAGCACAGAATAAACATGAAGAATTTTTATCCTGACCTTGAGGAATGTAAGGTGATGTTTTCATGAGATGGGCAAAAAGATAGATTCTATAGTGACACCATTCATGGAAGAACCTGAGTGTGCTCTCAACTACTGAACTTTAACCTTCAATTTTAGTGCTATGTGTGCTAGCACAAGCATTAAGTCCTTGTATTACCGCCACAGCATCCCGTGTTACTGCCCACAATATTCTCCAGGCATTGGCTTTTCAACAGCTTTGCTTGGCCTTGTTGGTGAAGTTGATGTAAAGTGGATGAGGCAGAACCTCCTTATCAGGTAAAGGTAGGAGCAGCCTGGTAGTGTTTGATCCATAGTGCAGCTTTTAAAGCCCTTGGATCATTTTTTGTGCGTTCATGTGCTTAAAACAGGAGGAAGGGTAGCTGGGGAATCAGCATGTATCAATGTGTTTCTGTGATTTGATACGGTGAATCCTGCTCTTCGTGTTACCATCACCTCTACTTTAGCACAAAAGCAGCAATGTAAAAGAAATGATGAAAGGCTTTCCCCTGGGTAGTCACTTCTATCAGCAGATTGGCGCTCTCAGTATAAACCAAGGAACTGTTATTTTGAACATGTGTGCACCTTGCAAAGAAGGAGATACCAGTTCTTTTGCTTCTGTAAAAAGGGTTTACGATACTCTCTTCCCCCCAAGTGATCTGTTCTTACTTGAAGTTTTGTCAGTTTTTTTTTCCTTTGCACACTTTGATGTTGGCAAGTTGATGAGAAGGAGATGAAATATTTTCCATCCCTGTTGGTATTGACCTTATTTTTGCTTGGCTTTGCTTTACTTGATTTGTATTCTTTCTTTCTTTATAGATATTGGCATAGCTTTATAGCAGTGGGCCTGACAGGATAGTGTGTTTAGAAAGGGAAATGTTGTTTGTGGTTTGGGGGTTTTGTTTTCTTTAAAGAAAAAATTGCTTCATGTGATTTTAACTTGTATTGGTTCATTTGTCTGGTGTTTGCTTGAGATTACTTGTTTTTAGGAATCTTTGCATGATTTACGTTTTTAGGAATCTTTGCATGATTTACGTTTTTTGCTTTTTGCAGGGTGGAGTTTTTTTAATTGTAAGAGGAACATCTTTCACAGAACTGAGTGTTGTATTTAATTGAGGCAACTTTGTGGATTTTTGAAGTGGAACAACAGCACTTGCATGAAATAAATGGGGCAGTGGGGAATGTGGCTCTCTTCTGGTAGAGAATTTTGTTGCAAAGAGCCATTTTGTGGTTTTTAAGTTAGGAAAAAAATGAGGGAGAGAAAGTCTGAGCCACAAAATAAATCTAGGAAGGAAATCAATGAGACGCTTGTAGAGGAAGAGTTATTAGGTAAATGCCTGGTCTTCGTCATTAATTCTAATTTGCCAGATACACTGTAAGGAAATGGTGGCATAGTATTGCTAAAAAGTTCTTTTTTCCCCCCTTCTTCCTCAGACTGTCTGTGTAGAAAAAAATGAAACCTTAGGTGGAACCTGTTTGAATGTTGGATGTATTCCATCTAAGGTAAGCGTACATAGTTTGTCATAACTTCATTAAAAACAATAGTCATTATATGTATCACTTGAGAAACTCCTTAATTTTTTTCCAAGATTGACATACTCAAAAATGAGGTGTAGATCAACACCGTGTTACTTTGAAAGTTTGGAACTCTGCTAGGATCTATTTAACTAACTTTTCTTCTTGAGTCTTTTTTTTTTTTTTTTTTTTTAAATCCTTTGAAGTTCTTAAGAAAATACTTCTGAACCCATGGCTAAACTCAGATGCCATCCAGAATTTTTTTTGAGTGGTAATAAATTTCTTAAGAAGTGGATATGTGAGGCAATAACAAACTATTTGAAAATTCCTTTCCAAAAAGCCACCCAAAATAATACACTGTGCATGGAATTTTTTTCTTTTTTAATTGCTTTAGTCTTAATTGGTGGCTGTGTCTTCAATAATATTGGATGTTACAGATTCAAGGTTGTGACTGTTATGTGAAATGGGCAAATGAATTTTAAAGAGTGAGAGTTGATAAGACTTATTAATAAAAATGGAATTATGTTATTGACATTAGTTTCACTCACGCATGTGTATATAAGACAGGTATCCCAAAATGTGCTTTGAATGTTTTACTGTGCCTGCTTTCAGTCTGCGCAGACTTGCGCTGTTGTCCTTGAAAAGATACCAGTAATTTCATGTTTGGGATGGCTATAGTGAAAGACATCATTTTTCTTACCAAGATCCCTCCCTAACTATATTGCTACTTCTAATCGAAATACAGTTTTAGAAGTTCTGCATTTCAAGCTGCTGATTTATAAACATCGTTATAAAAACTATTCTAAGTTTAATTTTGAATTCTGAATGTCCAGTGACCTGAGCTAGCTCTAAACCATCTAGCTTCAGCTCAACTAGCTATGCAGTTGTAGTAACTTTAGCACAACTCCTCAACTACAAAATTTAACTTGCATACGTCTACACGGGCTAAAATTTTAATGGGAATTTCAGTATAGATTTTCCTCATCCAGTTTTTCTGTATCCTCTTCTTCTTGTCAGGTAACATCTTGTCTGAGGTATTAAGGAAATTCTCCTGTGAGTCAGTCAGAATCATCTTTCTTTCCTCTCCTTGAAGTCTGTTCCTATTATTTTAATCCTCAGTGGAGCCATTCCCAATTTCTCTGGTGAAATGAGCAAAAAGGATAGGTGTGAATTTAACTATTTTCTGTTTTTATGTTAAATATGTAACTTCGTAAAACACTTCAGTAAGAGCTACTGTGTACAATTTCTGTGTTTGAAATACACCTTTTTAAATATGTACGTCAGACTTTCTTAATAGTGAGAATGTTTTGCAAATAACATTGGATTTTTTTTTTTCCTGATAATGTAATAAATCAGTCATGAATCTATGTCCCAATTCACATTTCTATGTGTGTATTTTAGGCCTTGCTGAACAACTCGCATCTGTATCACTTGGCCCATGGAAAAGATTTCGCTAATAGAGGAATTGAAAGTGAGTATGAAGAGCAGCTTGCCAGTGCCTGTTAAAATAAATGGTTTCCATCAACAAGCAAATGTAATCATTCAAATCTGACTACTGTAGTTTTCTGGTCAGAAAACTTTTTAGACTTTTAAATAACATCCTTTATCTGTCAGTTGGAGAGATAAGGACATGTCTGCTCCTTGAACCCTGAATCCTGGACAGATAAGTAATATTTGAAAAGTGTAATGCTGCTTTTTAACATGGCAGTTGTTGAATGTACCCGTTAGCGTTTAGTAGGCATTCAACCCATCTTACTGTGTCAGAGCTGTTAACTGTGTTTAGGTTAGCTCCTTCAAATAAAAACACTGCAGTGCTTGATAGAAGGGGGTTTTTTTTTATCCTTAGTTACAGGACTCCGTTTGAATCTAGAGAAGATGATGGAACAGAAGAGTGGTGCAGTGAAGGCCTTAACAGGTGGAATTGCTCATCTATTTAAACAAAATAAGGTTAGTTTGGATTATATACTGAGGTATATCCATGATTTTTTCCTGATCTGAATTTCTTGGTTTTTACGCTTTTGTATTCTTGCCACTTAAATTAATTTGAGTGACTGACTTGGCAAGGGCAGAATTTGAATGCTTCTCTTCTAGGACATTTTTAAATGAACAGTTCCTTCATTCTTAATCTACTTAAAAGAACAGTATACAATTACTTTGTGATTTGTACCAGATGGTAATGCAAAGGTACGTGTTAGCAGCTTCTCTAAAGCAGTAGTGAGATTCAGGTTAAATGTAGTGTAACTTATATCAGTAATTTGAATCTGAATTTACTGTGTTCTGATTACTAAAGGTTGTACATGTATCTGGGTTTGGAAAAATAACTGGCAAAAACCAAGTTACTGCAACCAAAGAAGATGGCAGCACACAAGTTATCAATACAAAGAACATACTTGTAGCCACAGGCTCAGAAGTTGCTCCCTTCCCTGGGATTACTGTACGTATTTGAAATCTTAATGGTACTGTTTTTGAATGTGTAATATCCACATAATTTAATGTGTAATAATTTTTTGCATCCAATTGCACTTCAGCATTTGTGTGCTTTATATATAATGTATAAAAGAGATTGTAAATCTCCCTTTGTGGATTTCTTTGTCACTAGATTGATGAAGATAATATTGTGTCATCCACTGGTGCACTGTCACTGAAAAAAGTTCCTGAAAAGATGGTTGTCATCGGTGCAGGAGTCATTGGTGTGGAACTGGTGAGAGGATATTTAAACCACTTCGTCTTTAATTTATAAAGGAACAGGGTGTTATTTTTGTGTTACATTTGATTGTGTTGCTGTGATTTAACAAAGTTTGGTTGAGTGAGTTGTAATGAAACTGTTCAGTTTCAGAAACAGCCTGCTAGCTTCCTTTTCTACCAGAAAAGCTGGGACAAGTGTTTGTAGGATCAGTACTCCTGCAGCTGGTTAGCTAAGCAGAGGAATGAGAAGAACATACAGGGCCTCACGTATAGTTTTTTGAGGGGGGTGACTTTTGCTGAGGTTTGTACCTGCTCTATGTATAGATGAGAGAACTTCATTTTTTAAGGGAAGTTAATTTTCATTCAGAAATTCTTGTGTGTAGCAGTTAATCCTAAGATATTTTTATGTGATACGATTGTACACTTTCTATCTAACAACCAAAGGAGAAGAGACTTTGTAGTTCATCTTGGCCTGAGTCCTTTTGCCTCATACCTACATGGTTCAAAAAGAATGTATATTTGCTGGTCTTGGAACTGCTTGAAAATGTGTACATCTGCTTAGCGGTTGCTTAGCCTGCTGACCATTAAGCAGGGAAAGAGTAAGCAAAGTGATAGACTGTGTTGGATGGATGTAGGTAACTGCAAGGTAAATAGGGTGTATATGGGGTTTGTTGGTGAAGCTGATGATAGTGGTTATGGTTATAAATACACACAGAAGCAGCAGTGGTTCCATTCTGTTGCATAAAATTTCCTTAATGTGCTATTTTGATTTAATCTGTAGTAGTATTAGAACACCAATTTCTTCTGGGTTTTCTGAGCTACATTTAGCTTCTTTGATTTTGAATTTTTCTATACCTATAACCTAAAAAATACCTAATTTATACTTAATTATTTTGTTAGCTATTTCTCTTTAAAAGCTTAATTCTGTGAATTCAATCATTGAAGTTTTGGGTATGCAGACAAGCAGTAATAAATCCATTTTTTGTGGAAAGGCTGGGGAAAGTTGGTACACTGTAACATTGGTAAAAACTGATCCGTTTGCTGTTGTGTGTTGTCCTGCTTTTGAAAAGTTTACAGTTTGTGGTAAATACTAGAGTAAAGAAATCTGAAGTTTGCTTTTAAAAAAGTTTTTTACCTATATTGTTGTGACCGCAGGGTTCAGTTTGGCAGCGTCTTGGTGCAGATGTGACAGCTGTTGAGTTCATGGGCCATGTTGGTGGAATGGGAATTGACATGGAGATCTCTAAAAACTTCCAACGTATTCTTCAGAAACAGGGACTTAAGTTTAAACTGAACACCAAAGTTACTGGTGCTACCAAGAAACCAGATGGAAAAATTGATGTAGCGTAAGTGTTTAACGTAAAACTAAAGGAATGCCATGTATGTTCTTCCTCCCAATCCATCAAACCGATTTAAAAATACAGTGTGATATTATTTTTTTAAACAGGAAAAAATTGATTTAGGATGAAACTTAATTCTTTAGTGAAATCTAATTTTTATCCTGTATTGTAACTTAGCTCATAATTTTGGGTTTATTGAGTCCTAGATTGCTTATACAAGAGAGGTTCCATTGACTTGAGTTGAAGGCATGCTAGTATAAAACCAGTGTTGTTATAGTGAGATCAGTAATAAAAACAGAATTCTAAATCATTCTTTTCATGGAAGATCTTTGCTTCTGGTATAATTAACATAAATATCGTGATTGTTCACACAGTCATTTTCAAGCCATTAATTCTTGGCTGCTTACTGGAAGGGTTATTTTGTCCATACCTCCTCTTGTCTTAAAATAAGTGTGGCAGAGATTTTATTGCTTTTGAGCAGAAATAAATGAAACTGCACGTGAGTGTCTTTTAACGTCCATGCTCAAGCCCTTTGAAGACCTATAGATGAACAAAGCAAATTTGCTTTGTAAAAGTCCATAGGTGTACACTGCTTCTGTTCTTTCTTGTTAATGTATTCTCTATGCAGAAACTGTAGTTCAAGTTTAAGAAAATGCTTAATGTTACTTACATAAAGTTACTTACATTACTTACAAAATTAAGCTTAAATCTTTTTTTCCCTGGAATCTTAATATGGTGACCTGTATTTGCTGTATTGCCATACCTCGGGATAGTCTGTCCTCCACCATTGTAAAGGTCCTAGATTTGGGCTTCTTTATGTACCACACTGATGCTGGTTGGATCTCTCATGTAGCCTGTTACTACGCTTAGAGTTTCATTTCGGTTCAGGAGTATGCTTTTGAAACACACTTCCTGCTTGTCCTCACTTACCATGCATGTTCATTTGCTCTCAGAGCACATGAACTGAACTTCTTAGGGGTGCAATTAAACACAAAGATACACTTGAGGGGTGCACCTGAGGCAGGGCAGCTGCTAACAGATGTTTGGTTCTTGGGCCAGAAGGTGGCTTGCTCAGAATACATGGCCCTACCCTGCCCCGAAATATATAGAGTTTGGATGTCGAGTACTCAGCACCAATTATTTTGCTGTACAGATTTGATCCTGTCAGGTCATGCTACTTGCTAGTGGATATATACCCTGAATTTCTGTATCTAAGAGTTGTTAACAAATACAGTAAGAGTTATTGTCCCTTCCTTCCTCTTCTCAGCTCTTGCAAGGAGAAGCATGGGGCAGGCTGAATGCAAATGTTTTGGATGCCAGATCCAGCCAGTAGGTCACCATCTGGATCATTTTAGTTACTAGTTGGAGAAAAACAATGCTGAAAGTTTACAGCTTAGCATTTTTGCTACTTATTTTTCTCCAGTGTTGAAGCTGCTGCTGGTGGCAAGGCAGAAGTAATAACTTGTGATGTGCTCCTAGTTTGCATCGGTAGACGTCCTTTCACAAAAAATCTAGGTCTTGAGGATATTGGAATTGAACTTGATAAGAGGGGGAGAATCCCAGTCAATAACAGATTCCAAACCAAAATTCCAAAGTAAGTAAGACTAAATATTTTTTACTTTTGTTAAGCAGAACTCTTTTTGTAAAAGCTTAACCTACTAAAGCACTTTTTAAATTGCAGAATATAGCTTTCTCTTCTGAAAACTCAAGATTTCTGTGTATTTCAGGAACTAAAGATTTTTAGTCAGCCTTTGAAGTTTCGTAATTTGAAAGTCACTGTGTGTATTTCATGTCACTAGTACTTCTTGAAGGGTGGTCATGCTGTGGAAACTACTCTTTTATACTTTGTATTTCTTTTGAAATTTAGTATTTTAACCTGTTTTGATTAGAGTTTTCAGTAACGTTTCAAACTGACTATTATATAAAGTAGCCTAGGTGTGCTAGGATGTTTTTAAACAGTGTCTTATTCTGTTTCATTGGTCTGATAGCATCTATGCTATTGGTGATGTAGTTGCTGGACCTATGCTGGCCCACAAAGCTGAGGATGAAGGCATTCTTTGTGTAGAAGGGATGGCTGGGGGAGCAGTTCACATTGACTATAACTGCGTACCCTCTGTGATATACACTCACCCTGAAGTGGCCTGGGTTGGCAAATCAGAAGAACAGCTGAAAGAAGAGGTACTGTTTGTTTTCTTCTCGGACAAAACTGGTTTTCCATCTTGGTGTGGCTTCATTGTCTAGTAGTTTAGCTATTTTTTCCAGGAGAATTTCTGCATCTGAATTTTTTGCTTAGGATGTATGATTGAGTGATTCCCTCCTGCATGCCACTCTCCCAAGGATCACAGTTCTCTTCAATGACTTCTATTCTGTGAAGTTAATATTGTTCATTTGCTAATGAATTTTTTTTAATACTCCCTTATACCCCTTTTGGTGGTTGTTCTTATGCATTGCTTTGTGTGTCTTATGTGTCTTTTTTATTGCTTCTGCTCTTAGTTATATTATTCTTGTTGGTCATTAACTCAGTAACACGCATCTGTTTTGTAGGGTATAGAATACAAAATAGGGAAATTTCCATTTGCTGCAAACAGTAGAGCAAAGACAAATGCTGACACAGATGGCATGGTGAAGATACTTAGTCAAAAATCAACGGACAGGATGCTGGGCGCTCACATTCTAGGCGCAGTAAGTATTGTAAATTGTGCTGCTGTCTTGGCCTTGTAAGGGTCTTGTATTTAGTGCTGCACAGTTGCAAAGTAGTTGTCAAATTAGGAGAAGTGGTGCTTGTAAAAAGAAGGAATATTTGAGTCTACCTTAGTCACCTTTACTTACTGTTCTCTTCTGCAGCCCTGCCCTCCTTCCCACTTTTTGGTTACTTTGGTGTTAGACCCAGTATTTTTGTTCTCCCTAGAATTGCTAGGGTTAATTGGTTTCTCTTTTTTTTTTAATGAACACTGCCAAATACTCTAGAGAACAGCAGAAATTGTTGACTCAAGTTCTGCAAGTTGAGGGAGCTGAACAGAATGTTGCTTTTTCATTGATATTTTCTTCCCCCCCACCCCCGAGCTTCAGACTTCAGCAAAACTGGTAACATGCTGCAGTCACCAAATCTGGGGTCAGTAACTTCGGGAACTTTGATTAAAAATCCCTTGTAAAGATGAGGAAATCAGAAAATTCTGTTTGGGAAAAAGATCGTTCTCCACTGTCCCACACATTCCAAAGTTAGACCCTAATTGCCCTCTGTTTTGTTTCTTAGCTTTAAATAACCTTTTTTTTTTTTTCCTAAAGATGTATGCAGAAACACTTCCATGCATCTTTTTGTACAGCTTGCTTTAAGAGAAACACTAAAACTGCTCTCCGTTTTCCTGGGAAGGAAATTTTATTCCTATGAATGGATATACTGTCAACACTAGTGGACAGGCTTTTGTTTCTGAATCCAAGTCTCGTAATTTCTGATAGAAAATAACTAGTGTAACATCTTATTATGTATTCCTCTCACAATGCCAGTCACTTAAAAATCAACATACCTTAAAGGAAGCACAACTTAGCTTTATCAGTGTGAGACAGACTAATTTTCTTCATTGGGAAAGGGCTGGGGGAAAACCTTATGATTGTGGATCTGAATGCTAAAAATGTAACAGGAGATTTCACTATTTTTGACTCCTCAAAGAAATGTTCTCTGAGTAAACACACATAAATACAACAAATAAAAATGAGGGTGCAGATGTAGTAACACGCTTTTGTCTATCTATTTAACTTCCAGGAGGGTGCTGAAGTTTTGGGGAGGTTTCAGCAGTGATAACATACACTGTAGCTTTGAGAATGTGGGTGTCATCTGAGCAGTATCTTGTGGTGGAAAAATGCCCAGATTTTGCACAGCTCTCAGTAATGAGAACACAAATACTCTCATTAAGAATTATGTTTAGATTTACACTAGGCTTGAGCACAGTCACCAAATAGATTAAATACTTATGACTTGTATTATAACTAGCACTTCAGCTATGTTCTAATACAACTTCTCTTTTATAGCAAAAGGTGCTTATTTACAAGCTCTTAGTGATTCAGCAGAACCTGGACAACCGCATAAAGACTTGTGCTAATTACAAATACCATTAAATCACAGGGTGCTGGCGAAATGGTTAATGAAGCTGCCCTTGCTATGGAATATGGAGCATCATGTGAAGATGTAGCCAGAGTTTGCCATGCCCATCCAGTAAGTTTTTTCTAAACAGACTGTTGAACACCAGGGTTGCACAGACAAGCAATAATTACATGTAACTATTAATGACTTGTACCTTTTTGTGTTTGCTCTCTACAGACAGTGTCGGAAGCCTTCAGGGAAGCAAACCTAGCAGCATCTTTTGGCAAAGCTATCAACTTCTAAAATGAAAGAGCAGATCTTTGTACGTGTATGGTGTATCTCCAAAAATGGACGGTGGGCTCTTAAGGGAAGGCTGAGTCTGGGGATTTTAGGACTGAATTAAGTGCATCGCTTCATTTTAAACATCAAATATTTAAACAAGTAGAGTTTGGAACAAGTGGAATTATCCAGTCTCTGTAAATTAAATACTTAAAATTACATGTTTATTTACATGATGAATGTTGCAGAAAAACAGCCTGACAGAACTCTTCTCTTTTTCAAACCCAAACATTTTGCTGCTGCATGGGATTATCGGATGTGCTGGTCAAAACTCTGAAAAAGTGTCCAGCATATCTAGTGTTTTCTTATTTGAAGTAGTGATAGACTAAACCAGTTGAATGCTGGCACTTACAATGCCACTGGCACTTAAAATGCCACTGTCACTTCCGCACAAAAATGTGTTTCCTTCTAAAAGGATTAACTTTAGTATTTGACCTACTTCTTACATACAAGTACCAAAACTTGTTTTGACGTAGTAGTGTTAGGTTGTTGGGAGAAGAGGGGCTTGTGTAAATCAATTAAAACTATATTGACTTTTTAAAGAGAAAATTACTCTGTGTGTGTGTGTGTGATTCTCCACACATCATGTTTTCATATTGAAAACTCATCAGGGGAAAAATCAAGTGCTGATGGAGAAATGAAAGATTGAAGAAAAATTAATCTTACTGCTACTTAATCTTTTTTTGTTTTTAAAGCTTCTGTTGTCCAACTCTCTTAAACTTGAAATGCTAAAACTGGGTAGCAAAGCAGTGCTTGCTGTTAAGTGCTATGACGTGAGGGTTATTCTGCACCTTCCACACACAAGGGCTGCAGTGTCAGCTCCCCACACAAGACATACAGTCTTTTCTTCTGTTTTCGATTTTGTGCTCGCTCTCTGTCTTTTCTGTAGCAAGAGAGCTTAATAAATATTTAACATGGCTGGAGGGTGATCTTGGGTTTTGTTTGCTGATCGGCCCTTTCGCTCCTTTTAGTGTCTGGATTGTCGGATACGTGAAGAAACTCACAAACAAATGGCATCTTTGGAATATCCCTAATGTGCAGGGAATGTGCCCACTTCCAGTAGCTCATTTTAAGTTTTGTTTTGCAGGGTGCCATTTTGGTTTTATGTTAGGCTCTTCTGCCTTGAAAAAGACCTTAATATCTGCTGGTGTTGTGCATGTCCTTTTTCATTATGCCAACAGCATGATGGATGAGAAATGTGCATTCAGAAAATGGTGCAAAAGCTACTTGGTTTTTGTGTACAGACAAGACGGCTGTATCCTCCTGCCTTTCTTTAGAGCTTCTTATTAAGTATTGATCCAGTATCCGTACTGAGTGATGGAAATATATGCCAGTGTACCATTTTATTAAGATACCAGTTAATCAACAAATACCAGTGATACTGTTCTTCATTTTGTTTGTTTTTTAACTCCTGTTTTAAGTGTAGATGGGGTTAAACCATGACAGTTCATCAAAGTTATCACCAGGCTGTGAGATGACCCAGTATATCTGTGAATTGGAGTAAGTGAATTAATGTGGATATGCTTTCAGGTGTTAGGAAGTTGCTGAAGGGAAAGGAAAGGTGAGATGGTAGCGAGGGAAGAAAAACTAGATTTGTCTGTTAGATCTAGGCATTTTGGAATCACTTCTACCTGCTGCAGGTAAATGCTATTAAGTATGAGTCTGGTGCTTTGCAAGTTCTTCCTAGAAGCCCTCCTCTCGGGAAAAGCTTTGTGTCCACTCCCCCCACCTCCCTCAATACTTGTGGCAGTCTTACTGCAGTTCAGCCTTGAGGTTCATCAGTTACAAATTCTCAGATCTCATTTTGCTTGCGTTAAATGAAATTTGGAAAGTCGGGGAAACTTTAATCAAGAATACTACTAAAATTATACTGGAGACCACCGTCCGTGTAAGCTCCTTAACTGATTCACATTAAGTGCCCTGTGAACTTTTGTAGTTCCTTTTCCAGAGAGACTTGATCCACTAAGCTTGGTTCATATCATGTAAACTTGGTGCTTGAAATGTAACCCACTCTCACCCCTTCAGTGCTGACCTCTGTTTCCACTTCACATATCAAGTGTTTCATAATCAGTGATATGACACTAGTGTTAAGCCTAAATGGATATCATGCAGGGGGTAAATAATCCTTTGAGTACTGTGGCGTAAATGCTAGCTAACCACACAAGGATGGCATTTCTTCATTCACTTCTAATTTTGTTCTGAGTGACCATCCTATATTTCATAGTAATTGGAGCCCTTATTTAGAATTACATAGTTGAAGCTAAGATTTTATTAGATGTCTAACCAGTTTAAAAACAAGACTTACTAAAGGATTAATTGATTTACTATTTCAGCTACTGAAAATAGGAACTTAATGAGGCATACTAGGTACATACAGTGATACAAAAGTACTGTTTATTTCAACATCAAAAAATTACTTGTCTTTGGTTCTGTGACTTGAAAGTCAATATAAAACCTCTTCACTTTATCAAGGCTTAGTGTAATGTCAAAAAGAACTGGTGTAATACTTGCAAAATCTAGCCTGAACACAAGCATTTCCTGCTCCCATTTATAAGCAAGTGCTATAAACAGCAACCTTCTGGCTGATTGTCTGTAAGAGGGAGCGAACTGTCTCTTCCAGTTCCACCAACTGCTTGGCTTTATCTTCCAGAACTTTTTGATTGTTTTCATATGTATTTTCCAAGTCTGTCAGCAAAAGAAGGGGAAAAACAGCTTAATTAGGGGTGTTCTAATGCATTAAAATGTAAATCATTATCGTTACGGATAAACTACTACTCAAATTTATTTTCATTGCAGAAGAGAATCGGATTAGGAAAAAAAAAAAAGGGCTGGAATGGCACCTTTTTGTTTCCTTAACACTGGGACATCAAGCAACAAAGAAGTAATTTTCCTTAAGTGGAAACCCAAAAGTATACTTTGATTTGTGTTGAAAATAATTAATTCTCTGCTGTATGGTGCCTTTTACAGAACAGTGAAATGTTTTGGCTTGTTATGGTTAAAACTATTCTGAGTCTTTCTAACTGTGCAGGAGCAGTTAATGGGAAGAATGAGGTCCCAGCCTGGCAAAAACACATGGAAAACTTAGCTCCCTCCCTGGTAATTATGGGCAGATTGCCCCCTCTTGTTTCAATCAACTTTAATTGGCAATGGGAAATGTTAAATTAATCTGTAAATTTGAACTGATGTATCCTGATTACCTGTTGTTTTAATAGCTTTCCAGGGTGGGGTGGGGCTGTTGTTTGAAGATGGGGGTCCTGCTTGAACGGGTTAGTCCCCGTCCTAAGCACGGTAGTTACGTTCCTTCCCTGTAGTGGTTCTTGGAGCAGTGCTAAGTGCCGTACCAGAAGTTTGTGTCTCACTGTACGTTTCAGCATTTTATAGAAATCTTTGATTCAAAAGACTATGTTGTGTCCATAAGAATAAGGAAAGCAGATCAATCCTCAAACAAAGAATTAACTTCCATTTTTTCCCCCTGCTGCTGATTAACGGTTTAACAGCACATCATTGCTTCATATTGTAAGATGATGACTTACCTCCTTGGAACAGCCTTACCTTTGAGCAGCTGGAGTTTGCTGTTTGCTTGAGCCAGCAAGGCTTTAGCTTCATCTTGTAACATGCCGGCTTTCCTCCTAGCATCGGCTGACTCTTCTGTCTTCTTGGCAATGAGGTCTTCCACTGTTCTGTATTTGTCGTTCAGCTCGGTATTGAGGACCTGTTGTTCCAGATTCAAGCACAAGATGGAGCTCATTCAAAAGACAACGCAGTTGGAGCTTGCATTTCCTCCCTCTATCTTTACCAATATGGGTGTAAGGAGAGACTACACTGTCAGCTCAGTTAACAAAAGCAGAAACAGTGTTGGGGGTATTTCCTACTTAATATTCAGCACTCTAAGAGTTGGGGTGAAGACTCATCTGTTGCCCTTTTGCAGATCTGTGGCTGTTTTATGGCTTTAATACTGACACTTGGCAAGGATTTATGGGATTGTTACACAATTCTGTAACTAATGGAAGCCATGGTCCCTAGTACAGCTGGAAAGCTGCATATGGTAAGGAACTGGCATTCTGGCTGAATGCTTGTGTTTGGGGAGGAATACCCTTGCAGTAACGAGAACAGCTGCTTAGTTTGCGTAGGTGAAGGTGCTGGAAAAGTCATGAGGTTGGTTTCTCAGCTGTGCTTTTCTCTGTGAGCTTGAGATTAAGAAGTGCTCTGACCCAACTGAATTCAACCAATAAGCAAGTTAACAAGCTGTAGCAGTACTGGAAGTCTCTTGTGTTTACTTGACAGCCATCTGAAATACTACTTAGTGTGTGGAAATAATTGGTTTGATTGGATAACACATCTCTCCTGGCAGAAAATGCCTCTCTGGGGACTGATGGGCTAACTATAGACAACAGATTGGAGCAATGAAACTTCCTTTGGCAGATTTGTCAATTGTTTTGTTAATGAACATTCTTTTGCTATTAGGAAGGTGTGTAGCAGACATTGGGAGCAATGCCATATGGTCACAGAGCAAATTTTGCATCTCTGGCATTTAGAAATTACTCTGATTTTATATTGAGCTAACAGTTTTTCTTGTCACTTCATTCTGTATATGCCAAATTCTGGCTTGTTTGTTCTGAAACTATCATTGTCGTGGAACCATAAATACTCTATGGAAGGGGGAAAAAAATTACCAGTTCTCCTGTGACAGATAGTAAAGCTGAGGGACAGAAACAAATCTGTGAAAGGCTGACAGTGTGACAGCATGACAGGTTTCCTGCAGCTATTTTAGAACCTGAAAACTTCCCAATACTTCTCTCTCTGTATCTGGTACCAAAGTAAGCAAAAAAAGCAGCTATCTTTGGTAAGTGCATTAAGTGCTTTTTGGTTTTGTCCCTGGTACTTGACCAATAAACGAAATGGCTCACATGTATTCACTAACATTCCTTTAGCCAAACCTGGGGTGAGAGTTTTTTTGGCTTTCCCTTAGCATCTTTCCTGAGATTCTCACCTTTGTAACTTCTTCAGCATTTTTTTTTGCAGTAACAATTTTTTTTTCTATATTGTCCACATTCTCTGAATTTGTGGCAGCCTTTTGCTTAAGGTCTTCAACACTCTTCTCTAGCTCAAACAAACGTAAGGTAGCATTGTTCAGTGTTTCTTCAGATGCTGCATTTTCAGATTCAATCTAAGAAAGAGGGACAACAGTTACATTTTCAAAAGACACTGAATATAATAGTAAGCTTTCTGGATAAGACCTGATCAACTAATTAGTTCATGTCCATAGACGTGATAAAAAACCCCCAGTGTTTAGTTTTGCTACAAATGGCCAGTTGCAGTCAGGATGAAAGACCCCTGCTTGAAGATGGGGTACATATGGGGCTGCAAAAGCATTAAGGAACATGATTAAAAAAAAAAACCTGATTGTATATACAGGTGGGAGTTGCCTAATCCACAGGCAAAGCTGAAGTATGACATTTGACTCCATCATGTAATGACAGACTTGTGAAGCTGCATATCTTCTAAGCTGGCTAAGCTTCACGGGTGTAGATAGCAAATGAGGGCTAGGAGATGAAGTCTGAAAATACATTATCTGACAAGACTACAGCAATTACTGCTTCAATCCAGCATTCGGGTGTTTTAGTCTTGTGCTGCAGTAGTGGATGACACTGGTAGCATGGCTACACCAGCACGCCACTGATGTGGCTGACAGGTATGACCTTCCAGAGATCTTGGCACACCTGCTGGGCTAGAGGGCTACAATCCTGCTCATTTAACCTTCAATGGTGCAGGATTTGGGGTGAGAAAAGCCTTTTTGTTTTTGTTTCTGGGTTCTTTTTTTTGTTTGGGGTTTTTTAAAGAGCAAATGGTCTCCTAGCATCTGTCATACTAACTGAAAAGTTTATGTGAAGGCAAGAATGGTTTCGATCCATTTTAAGTGCAGTCTTTGATCAGCAGTACCCAAGAGCCTTCCCTAGACAGGCTTACATCAGTTTCTAAGTATCAGACTTGGTGCTGTTTCTATATCTTAAGAAATACTCATAAAGAACTCACCGAGGTCAGCAGGTCTTGAGTTCCTTTAATATCTTCGTCAGCTTGTTTGATGGCTTTTTCAGCTGCATCTTGAGCTCTTTCAGCTTCTTCCAGTGCTGCTTTCACCATGTCTGCAGTGACTTTAACATCTGTTGCACCTTTGCTGTGGAGCAAAACTATGTTAACACTAAAAATGCTTTTAGTTGGAGCTGAAAAAAGAACCAGTCATACACTGCAAAGGGCCGTTTTTGCTCCTTAGTGAAGGGATGAGAATCTGCATCGGGGTAAGTTAAACTCTCCATTTTCTGATACAATGAAATGGAAGTCTTGTTCAAGCTCTTGGTGATGGAAAACAGCTAATACAGAACTGGGTTGCATACCTTGCTTTTTTAGCTTCCTCCAGTAGCATTTCTGCTCTGGCAATGTCCCCAGCACTCTGCTGCAGAATGACCTCAACATCAGAAAGGCTTTCTATACGCTCACGAATATCTTCTGTCAGGGCTTGCAGCTGCTGGGGAGTGCTTGGCATCTCCATGTTCAGCACTTCATTAGCCACCGCCTCGATGCTATCCAGGTCAGCGCTGTCTTCTAGTAGACAGACACGAATGTAACGATGTAGGTAAAAGCTTCCCTTTGTCAAGTCTCAGTACTTAAATTCTTGTCCAACTGCTCCCTTAAGAAGGAAAGTCATGGGAAAACTCCCTCCCCTGGACTTAGAGAAAATCAGGGTGTTAAAACTGCTTCCTTAGGGTGAAACTTCCCTCTCGGGAGAGGCCCAGCAGGCATGTAGGCCCTCCTGGCTTAGCTCTCTTGGAAGCCATTTGAAGATCTCTCTGATTAGCTACACCATGCTGGGGCTGTGGAGGGGAGATGCGAGCCCACAGGAAACGAAGCCAACGGCTGCATATAAATGTATTTGTACTAACAGTATACTCAGCCTTGTGCAAACAGGGACGGAACGGGTTTGCCATGCTGCCGCTTGCTAGTGAACAAGGCCCTCATTTAACCTCTACCTGCTTTCTTACAGAGAGATAAACTCAGTTTCTGACTTTCCTCCCCTTTTATAGCACTATGTTTTTCTAGCCAGAGCTTATGAACACACTTGGCAAACTACAGCAGTACAACAGCCTCAGCTGAAATGAACACAACAACATGCTCCAGTTTGCTCTCACTTTCCTATTGTCTTGGTTTTCTCTTGGCTCCAGATTTCATCATACCCGCTAAGTCTGGCTGAAAGCAGGGGGGTGACACACATCTATTGCATTACCCCTTAGAAGATGATTCAGAGCTAAAGATCGTTTTGACAAAGCCAGAATTAAAATATAATTTAAATGTAAGGTTCTTACGCATTAGGAAGTCTCTGATCTGTTTAATAAGATTTCTCAGATCTTCATTGCTTCTGTCCACTTGTTCTTTTGTAGCATTTGTTTTGAGCAAAACTTCTTGTGCATTTTGTTTTGCTTCATCAGCTCTCTGTTTCGCCTCAGAAACCTAAAGAGGAAAATAGAAGGCTTGATTGCATATTTGCTTATGCTTTAAGGCCTGGTTTAAAACAAAAATTCAGTTGGAGTCAGAGGTGCTACTAATGAGAAATGCTTTTTCTCATAAAACTCACAGAACACTTTTAAAAGCTGGCCACGATCCATACCACCAATGCTAGTTTAAACAACTTGGGCTAATGTTTAGAGGTATCCATGAAGTTTCACTTTAGCAAGGTCCTTTTCTGAGGATCTTTGCAAGCGTGATGAAGTTACACAACTGAAAAGGAGTATTTTGAAGTAAGCCAGGCACATACTTCGTCAAGTAGTGTCTAAACATGTGTTACAGTTAAAAGATTATTTTTTTAAAAAAAAAATCTACCAATTGATTTGGCATATTACCATTCTGGAGAGCTGCTCAACTTCTGCTAATGCGCTGAGGATGTCTGTGTCAAAATCCATGGCTTTCTGCCAGGCGTTGTGAGCCACGGTCACCAGCCCATCGCAGCCAGGTCCCCCGCACTTCTTCTTTCCATCATCGGTTCGACAGTTTAAACCGCCGCACTCGGACTCGGCACAAGAGGCTCCTGCGGGAGTGCCACACGTCTGCAGAGGCACATGAGACAAGGGAAACAGTCACAGCTTTATTTCCATTGCTGAGCTGCGAGGGGGATGGAGTAGGAGACTGCTCTACCGCGACAGGAATGCGGTGTTGTTTTTGCCCCTTGCAGCAGCAGCCCAAGTACCACAGGGAAGGAAGCCGAAGTAGAGCTGCAAGCTGGAGGTGGTTCCTGCAGCAGGTCTGTATCAGCATCATTTCAGTCTTTTTGTGCCCCGTGCACCTTCCTGCCTTTAACTTGGTTACAAATACGCAGTTCCCTGATGCTGAAGTTACGAGGTTATGAAGGAAGCCTTGCCTCGTGTTCATCATCCGCTTTTCCTGTACATCATCTTTCACTGGAAAGCTGCCTTTAAGCTTTGGTTTCAAGCTGGAAGCTACTACTGTCTGTGTACCTTTTGTCTGCAATCAGTCTTTGCTACTGTTGGAGGAAAAACTGGCTATCCTAAGAAGCTATTTTATAAGGAATAAAGTGTTTGGTGCAGAGTAGTATCTTTTCCTTTGCTCTAATGCCCTAGAAATGTAATAGAAGCTGAAATGCTCCAAGTTGAACAGAAAACCTTTTTTCATCTCCCTTAAAAAGCTGTCCTAGTCCCTTCCACCAAATGTTTGCTCCGATTGCATCTTTCCAGAACAAAATTCAATTTGTGAATTTTGTCAAGAATGCGTTCCCATAGAAAATTTCAGGGTAGACATTTTTGAAAAGCAAAACTATTTCTATCTGCAACATTGTATTGAGAATTATCCACTACTTGGTCAATTGTTTGGACAAGGAAATCACCCAGGAGTTGTTTTAGCCAGAGGGAAAATTGGAAAATTCCCTGTTCTTAGGAGGTTCTTTTCCCTTTCCATCCCACCCCTTTTGCCAAATGATACTTTGCAGCCAAAAAAGCCTCTCTGGGAAAACCTAGGAGCTGTGCCAAGTTAGCTGCAGCTGTCTCCTGTGAAGTGTAAATGAGTCCCTCTTACCTGTTTGGCATGCAACCTGGCAGTTAGCTAGAAAGCAGAAAGATTTTTTTTTTTTTTTTTGTGTCCTGTGATTACACCTCCAAGCAACTTGGTGTTTATGGTCTTGATAAACATCTACCCAAGATTTTCAGTCCTTAAGAACAGTTAGGCAGGAATGTAGGGGAAGGGAAGCTAAACAAAAAGATGTCTCCTTCTTCCCTGCCAAGAAAAAAGGAGGGCTGGGGGAGGCAGGAGAGATGACGGTAGTTGTAAAGGACAGGGGACAACTCCGGTGCGTGAAGAACTCATCCTCTAACACAGGCCTGGCCTGCCCGGGGGAGGTAATGAGCAGTCCCCTGCAGCCTGCCTTCATGCAGGACTGTTTTCTGAATGCAGCTGGCTGACTTCAAAGGGAAACTGGGGGAACACCCAGCCTCTCCCAAGAAAAAGCCACCCTTGATCATATTTACAGATGAGCAGGCAGCTTCAACAGCAAAAATGCCCTTTTGACTCCAGCTCCCCGTTAAGTTCTGCTTTGTCTCAAGCACGAGGACGGGTGGGCAGCGATGCGGAGGAGGGCAGCCCGTCGGTGCGAGCAGAAGCTGCCTGGGCTGGGCGCTGCGCAGGCACAGCGGGTACCCTACAGAGCTGCAAAAGGGAAGAGAGGAGCCTAGAGAAAGCAAGCACGGGAACTGAGGACAGGCTTAAGAAGATGGCGCTCAGCAGAGTCGCTACGCTTTTCTGCATGTGGGAGCTCTGTCCACAACAAAGGGCTTTGGGTTAGAGCCAGGGTGATGAAAAGATGGGTGCTTTGTCAGGGTGGGGAAGGGTAGGAGGGAGACCAATGTGAAAGGCTGGTGCCTGAAAGCCAGTAGGTCTCAGAGCCCACCACTTAAACAGCCCTATTCTAGCCCACAAAATACTCTGTCATCCAAGAAACATGCACTTTTCATGAACAAACTGTATCTCACACTGTCAAGCTGTAAACAGTTCTTCCCTGTCCATCGCTGCTTCACAAACCTGACTTTATTTTTGCTACAGGTTTTATACCAGCGATTCTCAGCCCCGTACCTTCTCAGCCACTTCGGAGAGATCCAGGCTCTGCAGCTTGCCTGCGAGTTCATCCAGAAGGCGCGACTGCTCCTCTTGTTTAGCCTTGAACTGGGCCTCCTTCTCATTGATTAAGTCTTCCACTTCCTGCCGCGTTTGTGCTGAGAGCTCCACGGCGCTATCAGGGTGAACAGTGGAGGCATTGACCCTCTCCTCTGCCTCCAGAGACATCTGGAAATACTTGGTGATACTATCCAAGGCTCCTGCAGAAATCAGATGGAGCTGCTCAGAAATCTGTTAAGTAACCCAAAGTAATTTATATCACGGAGGTTGGCAGATGACACATCAGGGTTAGCGATAATGAATACCAAGTTAAATGAAATGCTAGCCTTTGCAGCTATATTCAGTGCCTTCGCAGCTATATTCAGTGCCATCGCAAGGATGACAAAATTTTGCCTGTTGCAGAGGAAGAAGAAAAAAAAGTTCATCTTTTTTGCTTGGTCGGCAGTGTGTCAAGATTGCTGGATTTTGAAGTTAAGCCTTTCTCTGACCCTAGAGACTGAATTCTGCTTGCCCTGAGGGCAAAAGGAGATCCAGCCTTTTAGGTTTATAGGGCAACAGTCCGTTCTCTAAGGATTCACTTATCCCATTGGTTCTTGTTGCTTGCCCTGGGATGTCTGGCTTATGGAGTCACTGCTTGGAAACTAGTCAGAGCTTTCCTAAGAAAAAACTGCTTGACAAAGATGCTGATTTATGGAACTGTTAGTTTTCGACAACTCCTGGAGAAGACTTGAGCGGGTGTGAGGGACCCTGCAGGGGTGGCCACACTCTGCACCTCGGGGCAGCTTTCCTCTGCAGGATGCCACAGGTCAAGGACTCCCCTATTCTACATCCTGCTCGCCTCGCTCCAAGAAATCCCACGTTCACTGGAAACAATCTCAGACTTCCTGCAAAGCAGGAAACTAAAAAAAAAAAAAAAACAAAAACAAAACAAACCACCTTGATGAAGTCAGCTTTCAAAATTTCTGAAGAATTTGGTGACTATTCCTCTTTCTCCAGCAAATTTTGATTCTTGGCCCATTTCAGTGTGCCAATGGGCATGCAAGGCGTGGGTGGCTTGGAAGAACTGAGCCCTTACAGTGTGCTCTTAGTCACCAAGACGCAGATAGTTTTTCCAACCAGAAACAGCAATTTAACAGACTGGGGAGAGCAAGGAAGATGTCCAGGTGCATCATGGAATCTGCTGCACTTTCAGCTGTTGTGTCTTGTCTAAAACGTATTGATCAAGAGCCTTTAAGACAACTCTGTGCCCCAAGAACTTGAGCCAGCTTTGCAATGTGCAGAGGGAGAGAGAGGGGGTGAGGGGGCAAAACAAAATTCAAACTCTGCTAATGCACAGAAAGAAGCCAACCTCCTAGGAACTGTGTTTTATTACAAGTTAGAAGATTAACCTGGTATTTAAAACCACGTACTAATCAAATCTTTGGCCACCCCACTGCTTTCTCCCCCTCCCTGCAACACTTACCCCGAACATCAGAAATCTTGATGAACTCTAGCTGTTCTGCAAGTTCTTTCACGACACGGTCTAGGCTTTTGGCATCTGTCTCCAGCGCGCTCAGGTCAGTGTCCGTGCTATTGCTCTTCACTGCTAAGGCTGACAGGTTTTCTTCTATGTCAGCTATCTTAACTGTAACATCTGCTGTCAGCTTTCTGTAAAACAGAGGCATAGGACTGAACAGGGGGAGGAGGAAGGGTTGTAAGCCTTGGTGCTTCACTTCACTGAAGAGCGGCGGTCAGAGAACAGCTGCGCTT